TTCAGTGCCATTGTGGGGGAAACTTCCCTTAATTTCAGTGCCATTGCAAGGGAAACTTTCCTTAATTTCATTGCCACTGTAAGGGAAACTTTCCTTAATTTTGGTGCCATTGTAGGGGAAACATCACTTAATTTCAGTGTCATTGTGGAGGAAACATCCCTTAATTTCAGAGCCACAATGGAGCAAACTGTCCCTTAATTTCAGAGCCATTACAAGGGAAACAACCCTTAATTTCAGAGCCATTGCAAGGGAAACTTTTCTTAATTTCAATGCTATTGCAAGGGAAGCTTTTCTTAATTTCATTGCCACTGTGAGGGAAACTTCCCTTAATTTTGGTGTCATTGTGGGGGAAACTTCCCTTAATTTCAGTGCCATTGCAAGGGAAACTTTCCTTAATTTGAGTACCACTGTGAGGGAAACTTCCCTCAATTTCAGTGCCATGGTGGGGGAAATTTCCCTTAATTTCAGAGCCTTTGCCCCATGTGAGGATCTCTCCCTCTCTGCCTGGCCTCAGAGGGCTCTCCCCCTGCTCAGATGTTCGTGTCAGCACAGCAGCTCCTGTGAACAAGCTTTGCAGGACTGGGGCTTGATCCACAGCTCCTTTTACTCTCCAGCAGTGTTTTTCTCCTCCCAAAGCTGCTTCCATGCTTTGACCTTGCTCTAGAGCCCAGAAGAAATGCCTCACAATTTTCCTGAAGGCTCTCTTTATTCTGATGGCTCCTGTTTGAGCCACTGCTATGCAGTTAATGCTGCGCAGTCCTTTCTACACTGAGACCTTCCAGCCAAGGGTTTTACAATTTGGCAGCTGAGGTTTCAGCCTGAAAATTCATCCCTGTTTTTTTACTCTCCCCCAAGAGCCTGTTTTCAATTGACATAAACATTTTGATAGCTTAAGAGTGCAACAAAAAGCTGAGGCTCCCTTTCCAGCTGGAACCCAAGAGTTGTTCCTGTGGCTCCAAGTGTTGCTTGTTGTTGGCTGTGCCAGTGGCTGGGCTTGGCTTGGCCTGGCCATGCAGATCCAGGCACCTCTGGAACCTCCTGGCACACCCAGGGAAAATTCAAACCCATTTTTATGCGCTTTTCTAGCAATTCTGTCTGCCTGCAGGGTGTTCTCCCCCCTCCTGCCCTGCCACACCTCACAAACACCCCTGTGATCAGCAAGGGGCACCAGGAACCTGCTGGTTTCCCTCAGCACATGCAGAAACCCCTGAGAGGCACAGGTCACCTCTGCCAGGCCAAAATTCATGGGCAGCACCAAAAGTTTTAGTGATTAACCAAGACAAGAGGCAGCAGAACTCTGAAAGAGGAACCCCAGCAAAGGCTGGCTCTAGCTTGATAAGCTGTTTGTTTATTCTGCAGGGTCTCAGATCTGGATTTCATTTCTGGGATTAGTTCTCTGAATTCTGAGTGCAGCAAATCAAGGCTGTATGTGTGGAATCAGGATGGAAGGAACCTTTTTAATTTAATTGCCTGCATGGATTTGCATTATTCTTTCATCTCTCACCTTGGTGCTTTTCTCCTCCTGAATTCAAATGGTGACATTTTTCTTTCTTGGTGACATCCAGTTTTCATTTTGCTTTCATTCAGTGCTCACTGAACTTTCATCATTCCCTTTTTTCTTAGTCATTTCCATATAGTTCTGTATTCCTTACCAGGCCCTTGGATCCTCTGCGAGAGACAGGCAGGACAGAGCTCCAAACCCTCCTCATTTAATTACTTTTAGAGTCATATTTGTTGATTTTATTAACTACCCAGCATCCAAATGAATTTTACTGTTCAAAGGGCGACTGTGAATTTTGTCTGTCTATGGGAACTGCAAGAAACTTTTGGGATGAAGAGGTGAGATTTTTAGGAAAAGCAAACAGTGGTGTGGTTGTTTCTGCTTTGAAATCAATATTAAAAACAGAACCAGTTTGGGGTTTCATAAGAAAAAAAAGAAAAAAAAGCTTTTAATTAGGAAATTACGCTGTGGCAAAATCTTACATGGAAAGTGCCTGGATTAGAAGCAGTTTTCCAGGAAAGCTTCTCCAGCCAGGAAGGTGTTTCTGGTCCCATCCCAGCGATGCCATGACCTTGTTGTTGGGATGGAAGTGTGGGATGCTGGGGACACCACGTTCCTTGGTGGAATCTGGGCTCTGGATCTGTCTCCCACTACCGGGGGCTGCCCTAAATACCCGGCTATTTTTAGACGAGTCTTTTTCTGTTGCTGCTTTCCATAATAAGAAAAACCTTTGAAGGATTTGTGTTTTTATCCCTATGCACAAGAGGAATTAAAATAAATAAATAGGCCTTAAATATTTAGACATGAAGAGAGAAGAATTTCCTGCCCAGCTCTGGCCGAGTGGCGTAGGTGGCTTTAATGTGACCCGGGGCTGCTCCCGGTACCTGGCAATGTTTGCTTTTCTTGGAAGCAGCTGCACTAAAGCACCTTTAAAATCAGGATCCCACAAAGCAAATCTGCTGTTTCCAGGTCACTGTGCAACCCCCCTCCCTGAGCCACAGCTTTTCCAGATGAGGAACTGATGTGCTGCAACTCAACCAACCTGTTAGAGAGGGAATGGCTCCAGGCATGGCAGAGGAGTCCTGGAAGTGTCTGGGCACCCCCAAATCCACCCAAAAGGCAGGATCTGGCACTAAAAACACAGCCTGGCTCTGGGCATCACACCTGGACTGTCACCCACCTGCTGCCCCTTCTCTGGGCTGCTCCCAGACACCAAAAATGCTTTAGCTCCAAACCTTTGTGAGTCAAGTGAGCTCATGTGGGAACCTGCGGGGGACAGGAGAAGGGATTTTTGTCAACAGGCAGCCATGCTATGCAGACTTGATAAATATGAGCAGTGCTAATTCGAAGCAGATTCCTCCTTTGCCACGAGCAGAATTCCTCCAAAGGCTGCCATCAAAAACATTATGTCACAGCTGTGGAGAAGCCTCACAAACAGGGGAGAAGTTGGGGTCACGTCAGGGTAGGAGTGCGGTGGAGGCTGAGGAAGTGATTGAAGCCCTGCTCCACGGCCTGATGGAGTTTGTCATCAAGAAGGATTTCACCAAATGATTTGCAGCCAGTTCCCTGGGCCCAATTGGTACTTTCCAGCTTAATGCAAACCAGTGAGGAAACCAGACCTAGTTAGACCCAGCTGGCCAGGGAGGCTGCAGGCACAGGGCAACAAAACCTCGCCCGGGGCTGTGGAAATGTAACTGAAACTGGGCTTGGTTTTAAGGAGATGGTTAGGTTCCCTCTCCCGATCTCAGCAAACAGCTTTTATCTTGTCTCCCAAAATAGCAACCTGCTATCCTTCAAAACAAACCAGAAAAAAAGGGAAAACCTCCTGAGACAGGCACACAAAGCCGACAGAAGTGGAACACGGAGCTGATCGAAAACAGATTCTGCATCAAGTCCAAAGTCAGCTTCAGCCCATTGCTTCTTAATGGGTAGAGCTCAGAAACTAAGAAAACAAAGTAATTACCCACCGAGCAGCTTTTACTGACACTGAGCATTCACATGTTCCTGACACGTCCAGCCCCTGTATTTGCTCAAATCCATCTCTGTTTAGTGTGGCACATCAATTGACTTGACCTCAGGAGGCTCTGCCTCATTTGCTTCTGGATTTATAGCTCAAGGAGAAATGGTCCAACAATGCTAACAGGGGTGGGCTTTTGTTCTGCTTCACCCTGCCCATCCACCTTCCCTGCTCTGATTTCAGCTCCATCCCTCTCGTGGCCTTCCCCTGGCCTGCTCCTTCTGCAGGTCAGTGATTCATCACACAGGAGGACACAGATGTTCTTTACAAAGAAGCCTTTCCATGCAGGCTCATTTTTTTCTTAGAAAAGAGGGCTGGGGATGAGGAAATAGACGGAGAGCAGGAAAAAAGGCCTGAGAATGGGGATTGCCCAGGTTCCACCAGGGTTTGTGTGGCGCTGCCTATGAGACACAGCAGCATCTCCAGGGAGCAGAGATCACTGCTGGACTCACACCAGCAAGGCTCTAAGCAGGAAACCTTGGGGAATGTGGCCTGAGGAAAGCTGGGGTCTCTCTAAGCAGCTTTCCCATAATTATTTGGTGTTCCCTGGGCAGTCATGTTCCTTGAAGGCAAGCTGGATTTAGCCCTGGAGCACAGTCAGAGGTTGCTTTGCAATCCACCCTCTCGTCATTCAGCAAAACTTCACCCAAATTCCTCTGTCAGCTCTTGCCTTTCTTGGAAAACATCCCCAGTCCTCTCTGAGGTCTGCTCTGGGGACACTTCAGAGTCCAGAGCTGAGATTTCCACTCTGCCTTTGAGGGAGCACCAAAGAAGTTTGGAAAGGGAAGGGTCCTGTGCCTCGAGGCAGGCCCTGCTTGGCCACTCTGCAGGACAGCAGAGAATCCCCAAATGTGGCAGCTGCAGCTCTCAGAGATTGTTCCATGTGGAACACCAGCAAATGGGACATCTCCCAGCACTTTATCTCCTCTAACTCTAAATATTCCTAAAGACAGGGCTGGCACTTCTGCTTCCTTTGGGAGGTGAGTTACACAGGCTGATGGAACAGCCTTGGGAAGGTTTCCTTTCCTCTCCCCAGACTCTTGCCAAGAGAAGGAGCAGATAAATGATTGCCCTTGGTATCAGACCTGCCATGATTCCAGCCTCTCCTGACAACCACTCCCATTTCCAGCAGTTTTAATATTGTAGCACCTAAAGGCCCACTTATGAGCCATTCCTGATGATTCCCATCTGTTGGGCTTAAATTTTATTTTTCCAGATCTTATAAAGCTCATTCTGTCCAGGGTTTGAGGATAAGGTACAGGATTTCCAACACTCTCATGATAGAACAAGGAGAAAATTTGGGAATCACAGATTTAGTCTGCAGATGGTGGAGGAGATATGTGAGTGAGCATCCTTCTGATCTGATACATCCATGCAGAGGCTGAGTGCTGGCAAAAAAGACCAAAAAATACTTTCAAAGAAACACTTTTTTGCTAAACCACGGTGTCAGGGACTTTGTAACTTCTCTCTCTTCTCCTCTGGCCATTTTAATGTCTCTCCAGGGGATCCATGTTACAGTTATCCAAAGCCTTGGTCTTAGGATGAATTACCATCATATTTTATTATCAAAGGAGAAGCTGACACACAGGACAATGATTTAGTTAACTGGGTATTTGGAAATACTGTTTCACTTGCTGCTATTGCCTCATGTTACATGGAAAACTGCTCTGGAAATGAATGTCCTAAGAGCTAAAATAGCCAGGCCAGGTGAAGTTCAAAGTTAGCACCTCTCAAGTGGGACTTCACGTGGAGTTCATGCTGGGCAGGGCTTTAATTTGTGTGCTGTGGGCCAGTGAAACTTCACTCACCAACCTCTTTAACCTGAGAAAAGTTCATTTGCATCTATTTGCTGTGAATTTATAGGAGTGTTACTTTTCAAGCCCCAAAGCTGTGGTTCTAAACTGAGTCTGAATGCCTTAAATTACTCTTGGAAGTTGTGCCCTGATTGAAGATGTCAGGGACTGGGTCAGCTCTCCACAACCAGGGCAGATTTTCCACACGTGGGAAACCAACTGTTGCATTGAACTCTGGCAAAAATTTCAGTTTCCCACTGACAGCAGCCTGCATGGAAACCTCAGGGAAATCCCTCCTTAACATTTTCTGGTGCCAGTTTCAATCCTGACCTCTGCTGGCAGCCGGGCTCAGTTAGGAGCTGATGCCTGCCTGGGTTATTGCATTGCCCCTGAACACTGACATAAGGGTTATTGCATTGCCCCTGAACACTGAAATAAGGCAGTTTCTTATCCACAGAGAGATAAAACCTGCCTCAAATCTCTCTATATCCCACTTGCAGTTCATCACTCCTGGTGCACCTTGTCCCCTTCTTTGGGAAGTGCCACCACAGTAAAGGAACCACCACAGAGATTTCCAGCCTGCCAATAACTGATTAATAAGGAAAAAAATAATATTAACTTATCACAGCCACACAGAAAAGGAAGGGTTGGTATTTTTTTAAATCTGATTTCTTGTCACTTCAAAAAGAAATTATGAGGAAGGTATAAAAGTGTATAGAAAACTGTTGAAAACTTCTCTACTACTGCTCTAACTTAAAAGAAGTCTGCTCTCCTCAACAAAACATCCACCCTGGAGTGTAGGCATCTTACCAAAGTGTAGGCAAGCCCTTTATTCCAGGCTGAAAAGTCCAGTGTAAAGAGTGAAGCTGGGTAGGACCAGGAGGGAAATCACTGGTGAATCCAAAGAGATTTACTGCTTGTTTTTGCATGGGAGGAGCTGGCTCATCTCAGGATGGATTTCAAGACTGACTGATCCTCTCTGTGTACATGAGTAGGTTGGGGAATAGTTCTTGGAACTGAGTCAGCCCAACAATTGCTTTCATTATTTGCAGCTGTACAAAACAAATAAGTTGGAGAGAAATTTCGAGAGGTGCCAAATCCAATCCCATTGATGTGAGTGAGCAGTGTTTAGTGCTGCACACATGAAGCCCATGAATTACAGCTGATGACTCCTCAGCTTCACCTGTCACCTTTGCTAAATGAGCAGATCTGATGATACTCCTCCAAATAACAAAGTAATTAAACTAGAAGTGTTTTAAAGTGCTCCTTCCTTAGCATCCACAGTAACTACTCACCACATACAAATTGCCTGCAGAGAGGGGTTCTGATTAAATTAAAGGCAGCTCAGTGCAGGGTTTGGACAAGCTGGAACCACAGCTTGGCCCAGGTCTGGTGTCGGCAGCTGTGAGGAACAGTTGGGCTGACAACCCCATAAAACCTCCAGTTTTATCTATTCAAATTCACATAAACCACCAGGAGCTCACCTGGAGGGACAATGCTGAGTGGGCACAGGGACACAGGGCAGCCTGGAAAGAGCCCAGAGGAGGCAGAGATAGATCACAGAATCTCCTGAGATGGAAGGGACCCACAAGCATCATCCAGTTTGAGCCACAGACCCCCCAACAATCCCACCCTGATTGACCAAATCCTGCTGGAGCTCTGGCAGCCTCAGGGCTGTGCCCATTCCCTGAGCACTGCCAGCACCCTCTGGGGGAAGAACCTTCCTTATCTCCAGCCTAAACCTGCCCTGGCCCAGCTCCAGCCATGCCCTGGGTCCTGTCCCTGTCACAGGGAGCAGAAGTTGGTGCTGTCTCTCCACTCCCCCTTCTGAGCAATCCTTCCACCTTCCTGTTTTCCTACCCAGTGCTCTGGAGACAGGGAAGAAATCCTGGCTGTGTTCACTTCCAGAGAAATGCTGGAATGGCTCTGGAGTGCAGGAAGTGCTCCCTGAGCCCCCTGGGAGGAGGGGAAGGGCTGGGGTGGGCAGGGGGAGCACAGAGAGCTGTGTCCAGCTCTGGCCAGGGCTGCTCCCCTTTCCTGAGGGCTCACCCCACAGCCCCTGGGTGCCCTCACTCCTCTGACCCCCAGCTTGGCCTGAGGAATGTGCCCTGTCCTGGAGATGGCCAGAGGAGGAAGGAAAGCTATGTCTGAAGCGCTGATGAAGTAATCCTGTCTGGGAATCATTGGAAACACTGATCTGCAGCCCTGCAGCTTTTCTCAGGAGACCACGCTGGGGGGAGAGGCAAAGACAGCTTCATACCTCACATTTTTGGATTTTTTTTGTTTCCCCTAGAGTCTTTAGGGCTCCTTTTTTGTGCATCTTGTTCCCACTGGGTCTGCATATTTCCTAATCATGGAGATGTGCCAGGTCCTCTCTTTCCCAGAGGAATTGCCATAATTTGGATCAAGAAATAACAACATTCCCAGCCTTTTTTCCATCAACATGAGATTACCACATTTCCTAAATACTTCAAATTGTGCTTGAGTGCCTGGCAGATGATTGCAGATGTTGCCACCTCCTTTCCCAGATTTCATGTTTATTTTCCATGTAGATCCGAGTTCCTGGTTTATCAGCCAGTCCAAAGTGAGGACATGTCCCCTCAGTCCCAGCTCAGCAGCAGCACAGGCTGGTGACATCCCTGGCACTCTTTGGGACTCTCTGTGGTGTCAGAGGGAAACAATGGCCCTGATTAATGAGCTGCCACTGCCCAAGACCAAACAATTTTGACCTGGAGCTGCTTTCTGTGACCCCTTCCCATAAATCTGCAGCTGATGCAGCAATCCAGGTCAGAGCCAGCCAGGAAAGGCCATGGCACTGTAACTCCAGGGGTTGCCTTGCAGCAGGTGCAGGTGAGCCCCAAAGGTGATGTCTGGGTTGCAGAAAAGCCAAGGAAAGGTCACAGGGTTTGTGTGTCAGCACCCAGAGCAATCAGGTGGCCTTGCTGATTGCAGGAGGAAACCGGGGCGACCCTGTGCCACCTCAGCAGGAAATGCTGATGCATCTGTGGCTGAGGAAAAGCCTTGTAGGAACAAATCCCAAAAGCTGGGCCAAAGCCTTATCTTATCTGCAAACACTTTCTCCACTTAGCAGTTGTTTTTACTGCGCTGTTGTTGACGTCTCCCCGCTCCAGAGTAATGATTTAATTTTTCGTTGTTGTCACTTTGGATCCTTTACACCCCAACTGCTGCCTCTGGCTGAGCCACACACAACTTCCATTTGCAGCAGGCACAGAAGAATGGCTGGGAACTGCTCCCCTCTCTCTCGTGACTCAGCTGAGCAAATCCTGCCTTCCCTGGCTGGGAAAATCAATGGCAACAGGAATCCTGTTGCTTTGCCAGAGGTACTCTTGGGTTAACACTTGCATTTGAATATCCTGAAGGAAACTTCGCCATGTCTCCTGATGAGTTTGTGATTGCTAATTTAATTTTGGATGAACTTCTTCAGCTTCTGTAGGAAGGGAAGCTTTGGCTCAGGCCTGGAGCTTCTCAGCTCTGTGCCCACCCACAGCAGAGCCACCGTGGGGGACTTCTGGTTATTTTGACATGGAAAACCACAAGAAGAGAGGCTTCTAGTAACCATTCCCCTCAAACAAACAAAGGAAATAGAAAATCTTTAAAAGCTGATGAACCGTTTTCCTTATAAATAGTTCAGCTGGAGTAGCAGGCAAGGGAGACAGTCCTGGCCAGAGGTGGTGAGAGGCTGAGCCCCTCCCCACCTCCTCCTCCTCTAGGAAAAGTGGTTTAGCACAGAGGAGATGCGCAGGAAAAGATGAAGGGTTTAAAACTTCACTGACAAATTATTATCCTCAAAAGACACAGGGAGAATTGAGAGAGCAAACAACCTGACCCAAAGCAGCCTCCTGAGCACAGGAAATGGGAGAGAGGCACTCAAACCACAGCAGGTCTAGAGGGGAAGTTTTCCCCAAGCAGTCCTGACCCACACATTCCCCACCTGCAGCCCCTCATGGGGGCCTTTGCCCTCTGCATTGACTCAGTTCCCATCAGTGCCTCGATACAGAACTCAGCAGCCAGCAGAAAAGACAAAAATTGGGAGTTTTGTCTCTGACTTACAGCCAAGACCTTCCCCACAAGAACCTCCCTTCCCCTCTGCTGGGAAAGTCAATGGCAGCAATAACATTTCATTTAGAAGATCTTGCATTGTGCATAGAGAGCACAAAACATTTCATTAAAGTCGAGGAGAATCAAAAATCCTATGTTCAAATTCACAACAAAAAGAGGGGTGGAGATGAGTCTCTTTAGTTATTTGCTACTGTCTTTTTAAACCTTTAAAAATAATAGAAAACCACTTGAGTGTAACAAATGAAAGCTGATTCCAGGAGCTGAAGACTTAATAAAAACACCAAATATTGCAAGGCTTGTGATCCAATAATGCTGGCAGTGCTGTGGTGCCTTCTCTTTTCATGGGGGTAACCTTGAAATAAATCCTAAGATGATTACAGGCCATTGGTTTAAACACACATGGCTTTTCAGTGAATCCCTGAGCTTTCCAATTCCAGCAAAAATAGATTTCCTTGGGGATAGAAGCA